CTGCGCTGCCCTGCTGTGCTGCGGCCCCGTCCTGGGGGGCTCCCCGCTGGGTAGGTACCCGGGGCGCAGCGTGCGCGGGAGCCGAGCCCGTGCCGTTCGTACCGGTTGAAAACGCTCGTGGGCTGGGAGCTTCGCAGTAAAAATAGCTCCGGCATCAGGGAGGCAGAAAACCCAGACCTTTTGGGAACGCTCGGCTGAAGCAAGGGGAACGGTCGTGCACCGTGAGAAACGAGCTTAAAGGACAGAGCAGGGGCCAGGTCCCGAGCTGACCCCCAGCCCGTGGTGACGGTGGACCCTGAGCCCTCCCCTGTGGGGACACCGGCCGCGATCCGGGTTTGGCGCTGAGCACCTGGGCTGAAAGTCTGGGTTTGGCAGAAATACGCTGGGTCTTGGGTTTCCTGTTCTGGCTTTCACAGTTTCGGGCTGCACCTTCGGGCTTTGCCTCCTGGTTTGAGCTTGACCCTAACAGAGCCAGGGTGCCGCACGCGTTTCTGCTCGGCGCAGCTTTGGCAGAGGAGGGAAGGCGAGCGGGTGAGCCAGGGCAGCGTGATGAAGAGCCCTGATGAAGCCTCTTCACAAAGAGCCCGGCCTCAGTGCACATGTTCCCGCTTCTATGGAGCCTGCCTCACTGTTTCGCGCTGCTGTTTTTTTCTGCTCCGATCGCAGAAGCAGGGCTGAAAGTCCCTTACCTGCCCTTTCAGCAGGCGTTAAATCCAGGCAGGGACAAACTGTTGGTGGGTTTGGTGCTAGAAAGAGGCAGGGAAACATGGAGAAACAACCTCTGCTTAAGAGATTCATTCATTGCTGACAGCCACACTTGGTAGGAAGCGGAGACCGGAGCCTGCTGAATGTTTCCTGTTAAAGACAAAAAACTCAGAACACTGCGAAAATTAAAACTCTCAGGCACTGTCGCAGCGTACGTTATCCAATGGGAACCGGAACTGGGAACTGGGGCAGTTCCCCAGCTCCTTCCTCCTCTTTAAAGCCGTTCCTCATTTTTCAGCCCAGTTTTCTACCTAATTCCACATTTATCGAAGGAATTGTCCCAGGTGCTCCTTAACAATCCCACGACTGTGTTCAGGCCGAAGGAACTATGCAGAAGGAATGGGAGCGACTTGCTAGTCCTGCCTGCGAGCTGGCATCGGCGGGGATTTCTGAAAAGGGCACACAGGTTTCCCAGTGGCAGGGACTTTTCAATACGTGGGTAGCTTGGATGATATGTTTGGTCAGATAACCCATGTGAAAAACACTTCTTCCTCCTTTTTATTGCTCCAAACAGAAGTTAATACAATACCTGTTCCTGCTGGGTCAGGTTGTTTGTGCCTGGACGTTGCATGCTGCAGCAACTGGAACAGCTACAGTGAGGGATGGACAGAGAGATCGATAGGCCAGCTCACTATTGATAAGTTCATTATTGATTACTGCTAATTTGAGGATTTATTATATACTGTATATAATATACTATATATAATATACTATATATAGTAATATAATAGTATATATAATTACTGCTAATTTTTTTCCTAATTTGGGGAACAAAACAGGAGCAGGCACTACTGTGAATCTGAAGCCTTGGCTTTGCTCACGAGGTGGTGGAGGGCACCTGGCTCGTGTTCATGGTGTCCTCACCGCCTGCGGCAGCAAGGGGGAAGGGGACGGCATCACTAGCGCCAGGTCGCTCTGCCCCATCTGATTATCCAGAGCTGGGGACAACCGGACGCCGGGCCCAAGGCAGTGCCTAATGCTTTGTGCTCCTGACAGGTAGCAGCGAGCTGTGGGCAGAGCTGGAGCGCTGGGGCAGGGCACACCAGGCACACGCCGGGCTGGCGTGCTGTGCTGGGAGTTTGGTTCCCCTCGCTTTCAGAGGAGACGTCGGCTGAAGGCAGGATGACTCAGACATAAAAATACAACATAGATTTAATAATAATACAACCCTCAAAGTCTGTTTTCCCTGATGGAGAAATTCCTGGGGGGTAATTGTAGGTAACTGAGAGCATAATTGGTTCTGCTAAAACTACGCCAGGGTATAGTTACTGCTGAACATCACCCTCCAGCTGGCAAGTACACATACCCGTGCGCTCGAGGGCAGAGGCATGGGCTAGCATACCTTCCTCCGCAGTCGGGGCAATGCTCCAAACTGGTCAGGTGTTTGGCTGTCTGTCCCGGGCAAACCTGCAGTGCTTGACTCAAGGATGAGCTGAGGACGCTGAGAAAGGCATGGGGCTGGGCTCAGACGCGCTCATCGGCAGGTTTTTATAAATCCCCTTAGGGGCCCTAAGGAGCTGAGGATGAAAGAGCTGAGAAATGCTGAGAAATGAATAGGGCTTTTGGCATAAAAACCAGAAGCATCATGGGCTGACAGGGTTTTGGGGCTGGGAGCCCATTACACCCCTCCGTGGGTGCAGTGGCAGCAGCAATAGTGGGGGTCTCACCACCTCTTTATAACTCTGGTGCCAGCATGGGAGACAAGGCTGCTTCTGGGGCCTGTGGCAGCCTCGGGGCCTGCTGTAACCACTGTTGTTCCTTCTCTCCCAAACAGTGACCTTCCTCCCAGCCATGTTAACTCTCCCTGCAGGTGGCTCAGCCACCTTCTTCTGCAACATCTCCATGGAGAATGTCTCAGGCTTGGAGTACAGCCTCAACTGGTACAAAGAGACCAACCACAGCCAGCCCCAAAAAATCGCTGAGATCAGCCGTAACAACCCGCAGACAAAGACGGAGAAGTACCTGCTCACCAACTACACTCCTGCCTTCAAGATTGAGATCCTGAACCTTCACCAGAATGACTCGGGCTCCTACTACTGCGGACTGATCGCCTTCCTCCAACCCAATAAAGTGATTGAGAGCAACCGGTCCCACCTCGTGGTCACAGGTCAGCCCTGGGGGCTGGGCTGGTGGGGACAGATCATCGGTGTCATCCCCCAGTGCTACTCTGCAGGGTTTAGCTAGGTGAGGGACTTCTTCAGTGTCATTCGACTGGGACAAGACCTGTGTGGTGGGCTATGATGAGCGCTGGGCCTCGCATGAGGTGGCCACAGAGCAATGCCCTCCCTCTGTCCTACTTCCTGATCCAAGGACTGCTTGTGGGCAACTCCCAGCTGAGGCAACTCTGGCACATGTTCAGCCCTGGTGTTGGATGTGCACAGATGTGGGGCATGAGGGGAGCAGGAGGGGACCTCCCTGCAGCCCATCAGCCGGACCCCTGGGGGAGCTAGATGGCCCTGTGCAGATGCTGGCTTGATGCTCTCTGCTTGTGTGCTGAAATCTCTGCCCAAGTCATTGTCACCCCAAAAAGCCTCCTTACAGCATGTGCTCCCACAGGGCTTCAGGCTGCAAAGCCGTAGCTGGGGGCTCTCCAGAGACAACCCAAGCTCTTTCCTGCCAAATAGGCCTATTAGCTACTCTTTTGAAATAATTTCCTAGAGGGCTGTGTAATATTTCTACATGGGCTTGGGGGACCAGAGCCTTGAGTGTCAAGCAGTGCTGAGAAGAGTCCCAGGGATGGAGAAACCCACATTTCGTGAGGTATATGGCTGCCAGCCACACTGCAGGCTCCCAGGGCAGGCTGGCACACAGGGAGAGCCACCCAGCAGTACCCCCACAGGGGAAGGATCTGGTGTGTGTCATAGGAAATCACAGCTCTGCTCTTTCTCTCTCCTTCGCATGGGTGGTCCTGGCCTGGAGACACACAGCAGACTGTCCTCCTCCCCATCCACCCTGTGGCTGGACCTGGCCCTGGGGTGGGAGGTCTCCTTCCCCCTGGGACTGCTTCCCCAGCAGTTCCCTGGGGAGTAGTGTGCTCTTATTGAAAGGAGTCAGGAGATCCATGCGGGGAGCTGCCCTCACCTCTAAACAGCTCCTTCGTTCTGGGAGCCAGGGGCTCACGCCTGGGAGAGATGAGCCAGGGCTCAGACCCCTCGAGCAGCAGCGCTTGCACAGATGTTGTTCTTCTGACATGGTGCCCAGGAGGGAGGTGGGTTCACCGTGGCACAGGAGACCTCAGTCTCACTGCAGAACTGCTATGCCCTTGCTTGGCAGCTTGGAGATTTTTAGGGGCTGAAGGTGGCCTTTAGTAAAAAGGGAAACTGCTGCAAAAATTACCATCTTGTCTCCTACCCAACATGAGCTGACACCGTGCCAGCCCCAAGGCACAGAAGTGTCTGGGATGCTTGGCAGGGAGCGTGCCCAGTGCGGGGTGCTGCTGGGCATGGGGTAGCGCTGCGGAGCTGCCTGCAGCTGCAGAGCAGGGCCCTGGCCCCCTGCTCCCTGAGTCCCTGGCTGGCGTGGGATCACCCTCACTACCTAAAATGGGCTCTGTCCTGCACGTGCAGGACGTGCAGGGCAGCATGGGGAGGAGAAGGATACGGCCCATCTGAGGCCAAAAACACCCCTCACATTTCACATTAGCCAAAATTCAGGGCCCTCAAAGGGAGAGTGGGGTTGTGGCAGCCCACCATGGGACTGAGCCCTTTTTGGGGAGACCCCCCTGCATTCCCCTCTTACATTTCACAGACTTTAGAGGCCACTTCATGCTCCTGACCTGCTGTTTTTCCCCCCTTTTTCGGATGGTTATTTCAGCAGCTCCTGAGAAAACAAACGGCACTGATGAGCCTCAGATAGAGGAAGGCAACCCCCCAGAGCACATCAAGGCCGTGCTCGTGGGCATCCTGTTGCTGGTCGGTGCTGTTGTGCTCCTGATCTTTGGCTACCTTACTGTCACATACAGGAGAGGAGGTATGAACAGCCTGGGGATCCTGCTCCGTGGACACTGCTGTGCCAAGGGGCTCAGGGCTCTGCAGGGGGCCTGCAGGGTGATGGTCATCCAGCAAACCTGGCTCAGAGCCGGCAGGGAGGAGCTGGCCCCCTGCCACTCCCTGGGGTCAGTGGGCTGGTTTGCCATGGCCAGACTCAGGGCTGGCTTGGCCCCGTGACCCAGAGACCACAAAGCAGAGGAGGGTTCTGGGATCCTCAAGGGCCAACTGGTGTCCCAGGGGCTTACAGATCATGTGAGGAGGTGCCGGACGTCTCTCTCATCCCAGAGGAGGAGTAGGGTGGTTTGGGCCCTGCTCGCCCATGCATCTTGCGTGTGTTCCTTTGGGGGCCCCTGCTGTCTCCCTGCCTCAGCGCAGGGAACATTTCCTTGGCCACAGTGAGTGAGCTCTCCCAGACGGGCAACTGCACCCTGAGGGGATGGTGCTGCCCTGGAGACCCCCGAGGAACTTCACCCTGCTAATTCCAGCAGCACCCTGGATTGTGGGCTGGCACCTCAAAGGTCCTGGTAATGCTCAGGGCATTAAATCCCGAGAAGAGAAAAGCAAAGTGTGGTGTGACAGTTATGCTGTCTAGCACTCTCAGAGACCATGCGGGGACAGGATCAGTCCCAGGCTTGGATGCTAACGCTGTTTTGGCACATGAGCATCTTCTAACCACATATGTTGCTTTGCAGATGCGCAGAAACCACCAAGTGAAAACGCACCGACGGTGAGTTTCCCGCCTGGAATAGCCTGCTCTGGTGCAGGGGAGCGTCATGGGGTGCGGGAGTGGAGGGTGGGGAAGCGGACGGTGCTGAGCCTCCCTTTATCAGACCTTCACAGACTTCTCACTTCTCATATTTTCCCTGATGCTGCTTGATTTTTTCTACACAGCTACAGCTGCTTTTCTACACCTGCAGCACAGCCCCATCACAGAATCAAAAACTGTCTGAGGTAGGACAGGATCTCTCTCAAAGATACATCGAAGATAGCGCTGCTCAAAGCAGGGCTATCTTTAACATCAGATAGGGTTGCTCTAGGCAATGTATGTAGCGGGGATTTTTTTCCCCATATGTTCCGCTATTCAACAATTCCCTTTGTTGCAACTTGTGCCCATTCCCTCTCATCCTTTTGCTGGGTGCCACTGAGAAGAGTCTGGCTCCATCTCTCCAACCCCATTAGGTAGCTGAAGAGAGCAAGTAGGTCCTCCCTTGCCATCTCCTCCCCAGGCTGAGTGAACCCAGCTCCAGGCTCTCCTCATGCACCCTGTGCTCCAGCCCTGGCTGGTTCAGGGTCTAACAGAGAGGTGAGAAAAGGGCTCCCGGCACCTTCCTTCGTTCAAAGGCAGGGCAGGCAGGGAGCCCAGCCCACATGCTGGTGTCCTCCAGCACTCAGCCCAAGGACAGCTCTGAGCCCTGTATGTCTTCATCAGTGACCTCAAGTCTCGAAGCTCACAGTCTGGCTTCTCTGGGCAAATATCACCTTGTCCTTCCTACTGCTTTCCATCACTCCTGCCCTCCTGGTGTGCTTCAGAGGTGGCCGTGGCACTCACTGTGAAAGGGGGTTTGTGCTGGGGATGAATAGCACCTCTAGATGTAGGACGAACCGCTCCTGATGCGGTTTACTTGCTCTGCAGAAGGAGGAGAAACCACCGGAGGTGTCTGTGTCCACTGTGGACTATGGCGTGTTGGAGTTTCAGTGGGACCAGCGCACGCAGATGCCCCCCGAGAAGCAGCCAGCTGACCAGACTGAATACGCCACCATCATCTTCCCTGAGGAGAAACCAGTTACGCCAGAGCGGGGGAAGAAAAACCAGAACCAGAGGAGCTGGCAAGTGCAGCCATAGCCCTGCTGAGGGGCCGGGATCCTGCAACGCACCTTCCTCTGTCCTTGCGCCGTGATGGCCTCCCGGGAGATGCCCAGGCAGGAGCCAGTCTTGCCCTGGCACCCCTTTTCTCTCCATGCCAGGCAGCTGTCTGTGAGCCCTAATGCAGCAGTGTCCGGACAGGGACAACTCCCCCCTGGCCCCTTGCTCCTGACACACTTGCAGTTAGTGAAAACCAGTGCTTAGGGACTGGAGTGACAGAGGCACCTGCTATTGGAGTTGGCACCTGATGGTCCCTCCCAGCTGCAGAAGGCATGGTGGCCATGGGATGGGTACCAGGAGATGAGGAAAGGTCCCTGCTGGCTTGTCCTGCTGGCATCCAAAGACCTCCTAAAGACAAGGAGGATCAGATCGGGGCAGAGCAGGGATGCCAACAGGTCTCTGCACCAAAACCGAAGAACCAGATCATGCCTTGCTTTCATTTTTCTACCTTCACTTGCCACTCCCTCCTGGGGGGCTCTTTGGAGTGGTCAAGCTGCTTCCTTTGTCTGGGTCCACACCTGCTGGCAAAGCAAGACTTTGGGAAAATACTCCAAGTGCATGGAGGCACGAGCTGAAGTGAGTCTTAGGGAGCCGTGCTGACATGGTTGCCTCCGCTGTCCAGCGAGAGCCTGGGCTTGCTCAAGCAGAAGAAAACAGCCCTTTCTGCACTGGGCTGCCCTGTGGACTTCTCCTAGCAATCAGGCAGAGATTTCCTGATGCAGAGTTATTTAAAAAGACCTTCAGGAAAGAGACGGTTGGTTTTCCTCATCTTTCCAGGTGGTTTCCTCCTCTGGCAGAGGGGAAATCTGCCCATCTGTCCATCGCTCTGCAGGGAGGAAGGGAGCTGGCCCTGGGACAGTGATTCTCTTCCCCACGGGGAGCCCTGCGTGGGCACAGCACGAGCAGGGAGTCACTCTTGGGGGCTGCCAGCCCCGGTAAGAGATAGATCCTGCCTGGGGGGATGAATAAAGGGTTTCATGTCCGGGGTGTTTGTTGACTCGTGATGTCAAGCGCGTGGGCAGGCAATAACGACTCTCTGCAGAGCTCAGACGAGAGCCAGGAGGCGGTGGTGTCTGTTGTGGTTCCTGAGCCTCTCCATGTGATATACAAGCTGCTCTTCTCTGAAGCTACTCTTAATAATTTAGAGAATAAGCTGCCCTTTTTCTCTCACCCCTGACTAGGTGGAGGGATGTGTGAGCCAGGCTGGCCCCGGGCACAGTCAGGTCTCAGACAGCCACAAAGCAGACCTGCCTTGCAGGTCTCAGGGTGTTTGCTCAGCCTGGCTGGGGCTCATCTCAGGGTGTTTGCCCAGCCTGGCTGGGGACAAGTGTCTGCAGCTTGCCTGGGGGCCTTGCTGCCATCACACGGGGTTAATTGCACAGCCCTGTGTTGGGAGAGCCCTTATCACATCCCAGCTCTGAAGCTTTCTGGCTCCTAACTTCCATTTTCCTCTTGAAAGTGATGCTGGTGACATGCATCCTGACAGAAGCTATACAGAAACCAAAACAGAAAGAAGAAATAACTGCTAGAGACTGGAGGCACTCTGGTAAGAAGTGGGTTTGGAGGCAGCACAGACCTACCAAGGAGACCATGAAACCATGCCGAAACAAGCAATAATCACTTGCACTTCACATCTTGGCAGCACTGTCAGCAGGTTTCTTTTTTCTTTACCTCTGACTAAAACTGGAATAACCTTGAGAGCCAGCTCAGACATTAGGGGAAGATGGAAGGAGAGCTGAGCAGCAGAATTTGTCCCCGGAGCGGGGGAGGGGGGGGCGAGCAAAGTCCTTGGACAAAGCTGGGAAGTCCTTGGTCTGGAGGTCTGTCAGCTCAGATGGGACAAATATGTTAGGGATGGCTTACATCCTTCCTTAGGGCAGGACAGCAGATTTGGTGGCCTCTTTCAGTCTCTTGTGCCTCTGAAAGCTCCCAATAGCCACCTCTGGCAGTGTCATAACTCATGCAATGGTTACTCGTGTCAACATGCAGCCAAGCCCATCAGGGCCTTTTGCAAGAACAAAACCTGTCTAGTGGCTCAACCTTAAACAGCTATCCGAGCAGCTCTGATAAAGATCCTCTGCTTCACTTTTAATGGCCAGCTAGGTTAGATTTGCCTGGTTCATCAGAAAAGCCAAGGCAGAAGATAGCTGCAGTGAGTGAAAAGTGGGAACTCAGTCAGCAGTTTTGTTTTTGGCTTTCCCGTAAGACGCAATGCACGCGAGAGGTGGGCCCTGCTTCACTTTTTCCATCCTGCCTCTTGGGCAGCGGAAGAAATTGGAGACATTGGGTGTGCTGGGTGCATGGCTGCAGTTTGTTCAGCCACTCTGTAACCCCCCGGCTGCAGCTGCAGCTCCTTCTCCTCATGGCAAACAGTGGCCTGCAGCCAGCAGGGCCGGGGCATGGTGAAAGCAGCCCTAGCTGTCATTAGGGGTGGGTGATCATCTGACCCATGGCAGTGCCTGTGCCCCCGGCCCCCCAGCAGCCTGGCTGGGATCCTGTGCCTTTGGCAGTTGCTCGTTTGCCAGGGTGAGCTCTAGGCAGGATGCAGATTTCAGACCCCTGCCTGAGCATCCCTAGACCAAGCAGTGCCCCAAGATGGGTGTCAGCATCTGCATCCCAGAAGCCTGCCCTGGGCTGGAGAGCCGAGCTCCAGCTGAGCGTGCAGCTGTGTGTTCGTGTGCAGGGACTGCTTTTGTCTTTCCATGCAAGCCAGGAGAACAGCAACTCCCATTTTTGACCTTCCCTCCAGGCTGCTGACAGTTTGAGTTCAGTCTTTTTGACCACAGCCCTCCCGCTCTGTGCCTTTGCTCATCTCTGCACTGCTACCAGATGGCTGGGTGATATTTGCACCACTGGCAAGTTTACACCCCTTTGCTCTGCTCCTAAATTAAGCAGGGACCTGAGCAATTCACTTCCACCTATGATGCTAAGGTGCAGTTCACATCAGGTCTTCTGTGGGGCTGAGATGGCACCCTGTATCCTCAAAGGCTGATGCATTCCAACTGCTCTGGCTTTCCCAGCCCACACCAAGAAGTGGCTGGGCTGTGCTGGACCTGGGGGCAGTATGGTTTGGTTTGGAGTATGGCAGATTCTGGTCTTTCTGCTAGAACTGCTTTGTGGTGCTCTGAAGGGCCTGGGCTCACCAGATGTTGGTGGCATGGTTTTGGAGGTCTTTTGGTTTAGGCTATGGAGAAGAGGTTTGCTGCAGAGCAAATAGCCCAGTTTCTTACCATCCTTGGCTCTGACTTGGCTCACTTCAGCAAGCATCACAGTTGCTGGGGCTAACTCGTGTGTCAAAATAACTGGCCATAGAAAGGCTAAGAGCAGGGCCTGAGTCTGTTCCTCAGCACCCCACTTTGGGAAAAGCTAGGCTAATGGCAGTGCAAATGAGAGAAGAATGAGGCCCTGTAAAATTAAACAGCAGCTGAACCTGACTTTTCCTTGCTCTCCACCTTTCATCACTCCTGAAAGGCCAGAGGTGACAAGAGACAGGGATGACTCTGCCCCCCTCGTGCCTACTGACACTCTGGCTCGAGGCGACAGAGGGTGCTGCTGAGGGTGTCCTTTCCCCTATGCTTTGTGCTGGCATATAGAAGCCAAACTGGAGGCATTTACTGTTTTTCCAGTGATTGCTCCATGGGCATGAATTCCTAGCCCGACCGTGAACACACACGCTTGTGTGAAAGCGCACATGAGTGCAGACACTCCAACACACAGTTCCCCTTGCAAAGTAGCGTGCATACCTGCAGACATGCACAGAGATGTGCGCACTGAACATGTGCACATACACACCTCTTACCTGCAAACATGCTCATACCTGCCAATAGATGCGCAGGTCCACCTTTGGCTAACCCCAGCCACTCTGTCCAAGTACTGCAAAATTGCAATTTTTTCAAGCATGTGAGTAGCTGTGCACAGCCAAGGTGGTGGCTGTGGTCGCTGAAACTGCTCTCCGTTTCCTGTGTACTCTGGTCTGTCAGTTAGAGCAACCGCTTCCGACCGCGGATACCCTCAGCTCCCCTGATGAGTGGAACAAGGGCTGCCAGCAGCATCAGTACCAAAACTGCTTTGTCAGCTTCCAGCCTCCTGGGCCTGAGCGTCAGCTAGGGCCTCCGCCTTGGGAGAGCACAGCTCGCTGATGGGCCCTGCACTCCAGTCCTACACCGGGGTCTTGCCTACCAGGAGATAACCAGGTCCTCCCGGGAGACTTCAGAGAGCTCGGTCTGATCCCCGTGAGCATCTGCAGGAAGCTGGATGTGCAACTTTGACTTGCCTGAGCTATGCATAAGCAAGCAGAGACCCCAATATGCATGCTCAAGAACCAGCCTAGCTCTTAACAAGGAGCTGTATCTCTTTATATACACCAGTCCTCGATTAAAGATGATTGGGAACACCTTGTGGGCAACCATTTGCTAAAGAAACCCTAACTCAAAAGCTAGGTTTTGAGAGAACCTCAGTAAGATGAAGATGAAGATGAAGTCCTCTCCTGCTACTTGGAACACTTCCTTTGAGGAGCGCTGCACCGTGAAATTGTAAAGTGCCTTTCCTGCAAAATGGGACATTGCACATGCCTGGGGTAGAAGGATCAGCAGGGTCATATGTGATGACACTATCCTGCTCCCTTACAAGCCAATATGCTGAGAGCAGCTCTCTCATGGGTGGCTGGGAGGTATTGTAACTGAGTCTCAGTTTTGGAGAGGCTTATTGGCCCCTCAGGTTTATGGGGTGGCCTCTGGGTGGGACTGGTCTGTCAGATGCTATGAGATGGGAGCATTTCCATGGCCTTGTCTCACTGGGATAGCGGCTGTTGGTCCAGAGAGGACATGCTGGGGGTAAACTGGTGTGCACCCCACGTGGGTCAGCGTTGGTGGGAGGGACGAACTCTCAGGCAGGTTGCCAGGGCCTGTAAGCACAGCCAATCTGCACAACTCTTGTGTTTCCTGGCCTGTCCAGGCCCATTGCATCTCCCCCACCCCTTC